GATTCCAGAAAAGCTATTCAATTTTTCAATATTATGGTGCCTGCAGAAGCAATGAGATTTTCTGATTTCTAGGATACAGTGATTCATAAAAAAATAAGATATTTCTTTCTGAATAATTTATTTGTATATCGAAACGATTTCTGGATGATCGAGAAAGTTTTGCGCGAATTCGATTCCCATAGCGATACAATCGGACTAATGCAATCGAACTTTTCCGGAAGTTCGGATAAATCCAAGATTCGGTAAAATCGTACCGACCCGAAGATTTTCTATGAATTTTTAATCGTGCACGTTCGTGCTGCCTACCAGAATCCGGGATTTTCCACCTTACGTTCCGAACGTGGAATAAGATGCGAATCTACAGAATACCTTTAAAGTACCATGAGAACGTGACACGAAATACTCATTGCAAAGGAGTCAACCGAACAGTATATGTGTTATGTAATCGCAACATCTGTCACGGTTAGCAATTCCATTTGTTTTCGTTTCCGACAATTTGGAACAAATGTAATCTATGCTGTATAGCAAATCTAAAAGGCAAATGGAAAAATATATATCCTGATGTATTTTATCACACTCGCAGCAAGCTCATCTTTATCTCTTTTTACTGCAAATTTAATAGGTCTAGACTGAGAAAACATGTTGTTAACTTGATTAAATTAGTTTAATTCGTTTTTATTTGTGAGAATGTGTATTTAAGAATGTATATTTAAGTTAAACAAAGACGAGCTAAACTAACTTAATCAAGTTAATAACTTTTTCTCTCAGTATTTATTCTAGCTATATTGCGACGGTTTTATTCGTTATAAATATCATTACACGAATATCATCACGCAGATCTTAAGCCTTTAAGACTTTATTTACGTCTTGAGATGTATGTTTGTATTGAGTTAGATGCGACGGGGACGCGATAAATCTCTCTTTGTCCCAAAAGGATAAGGGTCGGTGCACCCGTTATGCCATTTCTACTGAATATTTGAGCAATTTCTACGTCCGCGGTTGGTTTACACTTGTACCACATCTCTAGACTCATTCACATGCGTCTTCGCCCGTCGAAAAACGCCCCTGGGATCGTCTGCAACTCTCTCTCTCTCTCTCTCTCTCTCTCTCTCTCTCTCTCTCTCTCTCTCTTTCTCTCTCTCTCTCTCCTTCTTTTTTTCCTTTTCCTCTCCATTTATTTATCTATTATCTATAGACCTTTGCTCTTTTTTTCTCTATTTTCTATTTCTGTTGCGCATTGAAGGACGAATGATATCTGACAGTACAGTTGGATAAAAGCGCAATGGGAAAGACCGATCTTACTCTACACATAAAATATGAATGAACTGACAAGTGCATTTCTTGCAGGAAGAACTTGAGAAAATTCCTTCGCCGACGTTCGCAACGAGTGACGCGTATTTTATTTCAGTAGACACGCCGTAGACATGCCGGCATAGATGAAATTAAGCGAAAAGTATAAAAGTAGAACAGTTAGTGGTATTCTGCTTTGTAGAAATGTAAATGACTATACTTATTGAAAAACAAAGCACAAAAATAAAATTATAATATATACGAGATTATATATGATTATATTATATATGAGCACAATTTTTTGAAGTTAATCAGAAATGAGAGAAAAGCAAACACAGATGTTATGATTTGATTAAACATCCTTGCTAACACTGTCCTATCGATAATGGAACAAGAGCTTAGGTAATTCCTCGCCGATAAAGTTCTTAGAGCTCTGTTTGAGCGTGCAACTAACAGCTCGAAGCATCACCGTGGTGCAAATTCAATTCCTCCTTGATCGGCAAGGACTTAACCATACCACTGTCGCAAACACAATCAAAATTTCTGTTACGGCACATCTACGATGATTAAGACTACGTAGAAATCGATTAATTGGAAATCAGCGCGAAAGGAGCAAATTAAATAGAACAAATTAAATGATTATTAAATCAATTAAGAATATAAAAAATATAAGAACGATTCGAGAAACTTATAGTGCTTTCTCCAATTGTTCTAGTCAAGTCTATAATGTCAATTTATCGGTAAATTTAGTTCGCTTTTCGAAATAAATTCAATGAGCCACTCAGAGACAACATTAATGGCACAAATGGAACTGGATCAATTACTGCAATTTCCTAACTTGGAAATGGCTAAGGAAAGTTTATTGTTACTGTTTCCTAAGCTCATCCGAATCAATGAAGACTGTCGAGTGTCATCCCTTTTGCTCAGACTATTCCCTAGCGTGAAGTTTCGCAACGACCCTTCTACGTGACACTTTCGCAAGAAATTTAAAGTTTGACAAGCGGAAGATATATCCTCGAAAGATGAAAGGCGGCATTGTTCTTAAGTGATTGCCTAGAAACGGCATCGTTTGCAAATAGACCGGTATTCAAAGTTAACCTCAAAGTAACACGCCATATTATATCCCTACAATTCATCAAAATTATTACTGTTTTAATCTCTATTTGATTTTGTCGAACGCCTTGTCGTTGAGATAAATATATTTTCTCTTGTGTATCTTTTGTAAAGTGTTTTAATAAATCCGAGTTATTCAATATATATCTCTTTCAAAATATTACTGGCCTTTATGAAGAGGATCTATCTAATGCTCTTAAAGTTCTGGGCGATGAAATTTACATATTAAAAGTTAAGTAGCTACTTTAACAGTAGTGGACAGAGCTGACGTATCAGGGAGTTGAAGTGAATTTGGAAACGACCACTAATCTGTTGGACTAACCATCCTTCGTCATGTAAGCGAACAATGGTGCAGTAGAACTTTGAAACATGCTCGATCCATTTTAGTAGTTTTCAGAGGATCAGCTCGATCGGTAGTTGCTCAAAATCTAGTTTCGCGAAATTTAGTGTTTATTTTACAAACACTTTTAAAGTGCTGCGAAACATTGAAGACACATTAAATAATTACTTGCTACACTGAAAAAATAGTTAACTTATATAGTTGAATTAATTGGAATTTTGGTTAAAAATGAGCAAATTTTCTGAATCTGTTATAATTCTATATATAATAGTTAATGAAATTAGAATTTTGACCGATATTAGAATCTTCTAGTTCATTCAATTTCAATGAAAAATTTGTCTTAATATAAAATTGATTGTAATTAAAAATATATATACAGAAAGAGTAGTTTTGCTGAAGTATTTAAAAATTTAATTAGATATTAAAAATAATTTTGTTGGACTTTTTAAAATAATTACGTAAGACGCTCAAAGTGGTTGTTACAATTTTTTAGAGCATTGCTCACCATGTTTGAGTTTTCTACATAATTATTTTGATGGTCTAACATAGTTATTTTCTGATTTATATCTATTTAAATTTTTAAATACTTCATCAAAATCGTTCCGTCTATTAATTAACATTAAATGAATTACTGTTTTCACTTAACTTTTTTCCATTGATGAACAGCATTTGCAGAGTGTAAAATACGATACTAATACATATCGCATTAATACTATTTTTATTGTTCTTACGACTAAAATGTGTGGTGCAACGAGCAAATAGTATATATCATAAGGTTTGATACTATTATTGCGTTATAGCGTCAGCTTTTCCTGTGCATACGCAGACCGCGGTGAAATCACCGCAGCAATAAATCCGATATCACCGCGTTCCCGATGGATCTCCGATTGAACCAAAAACATTTCGGTTCCACTTTGGTGAAACCATTTTTCGTTTAAATTCTCATTGAAATCCGTATATTTATGGACGACACGTCGATACAAGCGGAAGAGGGGCGCACTGAGCACACCAGATTTACGATTAAACTCTCAGTTGAATATGGCTGACGCGGTCAAAATCGGTCATTCTATCGCAACGAGTCGAGAGCGGACAGAAAGTGTGTTTTAATTCTGTTTGACACCATAATCGAACTTTAAAGCTGTTAATCCGGTAAATTTCGAGAGATTTGTTTCGAAAAGAAATGCAATCAAATCGTATTATATTTCAATATGCGAATACCTACGTTATTCTTTTTTCAATTCCATTTTACGCGTAGCTGCATCATAAATAATAGCAAACAGGATTGATAGCACTGATTGTAACTTTTTTTGTATCGCGTATATGACGCAGAGAGATGTATTTTTGCGAAAATAATTTTATAAAATGATAGATTTATAGGGGAATATTACATGTTTCATGAAATCGTGTCTGATGCCATAATCGAAATGCGCATTTGCGGTCTCACAAAATCTCATAAACTTCACAGAGAATTCTGAAGGAATGAAATATCACAAATATATAAATAACAGTACATCATTATCACAGTTTACGTAATATATTCTTATTCAATATTAATTATTAATTTTTATTTTTTAATTTAAAAGTTCTTTCAAAAGTACAATTAAAAAAACGTAATTTTAAAATTATTACTATGAATGAGTTAATTAAACATTATCTTATCAGTTCTGGTTTTTATTTTTTGATTAACTTAAATTAATAATTTTAATCCCATTTAATCTGATAATAATGTAAAAATTATATTTCTTTAGCTATGATTAATCACTGATGGTTTTGTAGTGTGATAATTTTAAAAGTTACTTATTGTAAAATTATTAACTTAGTAATGGACCTTGATTAAAAAAATTTAATTTTTCTATTATCAAGTTAAGTCTAATCACAATGAAAAACCATGCCTCAGTGATCAAAAGAGAACTAACTACTTCATAAAAAAATCGTCATAATTAGAAAAGGGTAGTTTAAAAAGAAATCATCACAATTCAAAAAGAAAGATTTTTTTAAGGATTGTGAAATTAAAAATAACAAAAATAACATTTGATAACATTATATTAAGAATATATTCTTTTTGATATTATTTGATTAATTAATAATTTTCTAGTTGAAAAATAATTTTTCCATTTTTTTGGGAAACTTAATTTTTTTAAATTATATTTTTGAAGTAAAGGAGCGAATCTCTTTGTAAATATGAGAGAATTCGAAGTATATTAATAGCAAAGTATATTATAGTATAAGTTTGTAAAATACTTTATATCGTACTCACCTTGCCGAAATTCGAGAGACCACCGATTTGAGGCACTTGACCGGGTTCATCCGCCGTGCTGCAGTCTGCCCTAACGAACCAACAGGTCAGTAACTCAGTAGCTACAATTGTGAATGTTATGGCGATAGAATTCTCTCTAATCACAGGTCTCCACACGCACCCATAACGATAACGACAATAGTATTATTCGCAGGACAGCAGCTCGCGGCGAGCCACAATGACTAGTTCGTAATCATACCACAACTAACTTGTTTCTATTCCGAATGATCTCGGGAATATTCTAGTACGCAACTTCATTAAATGTACATTACACAATAGCGTTCATTAGATACGATAAATGCGTTTGAAGTGAACTTAAGTCTTATTATTACTGTCTATTTCGATTTCTTTACATTTTTTTTAAATAGAATAAGCCTAAGAGAACGCTGAATAATTTATATACTTAAAAAAAAGTTAATAGATAATCTTCATACATATTTTTAAAAATAATATTAACATTTATTTATAGTAAGTAAATATTTACTTAGAAGTATATAATTAAACAAATATTTTTAATATATATATTTTAAATATTTTTAAATTAAATAATTAATATTTTTACAAATATTAATTAATTAATTTTGTTTAGTGCAATTTCATAATAATTTAATCTTTTTTTTATAAAAACTCGATATATATATTTGTAATGTTCCTTTTAATCCTTAATTTTTGTAGTTTTATCTTGGAATAATTACGAACATTTCTCTATGGTTCATTGATAGGATTAACAATGTATTTTTGTGCAGTATAATGTATTGGTAATTGGATTTTGTGATGTAACGCGCAAGTAAATTACATCCTGTTGAATTGAATGGTTTTTATGCGAAAGAAAACGACCGGTTTCTCTCTGTCAACGCCCGAGAGAAATAGATTTTCCTAATGTTCTCTCTAGAAGTCATTTTCTTTAGTACACATTACACATGTCTTTTAGTCACATATCACGTTATGTCATCTCTCCTGAGGCACGCGACTAATCGCGATAACAACTGTCGGCGGAATATACAGACGAAGGAGAGTTAAATATCTTATGTAGATAGGGATTATATGCGAGACATACGACGTGCTTTAGGCGTCAGCTCGAGGACTCGAGGTAATACCACGCTGACAATCGTGCGCATTAGCGCCATATCCCCTAAAGCCGTCACGAATGGTGCAATGATGCGGTGGCAATAATGGTAGCGATAATCGATAACCGAGCCCATAATCGGCCGTCGCGTTACACTATCCTTCGATTCGATTCGGGAATCGCGGCTTCAAGTTTTAGCCACATCGCCGGATTTAATTGCAAACGATAACGACGACGGCGGACACGCGCCATTAAACGTCGCGGCTTTTCCTCTCGTTCAGTTCGAGTGGCCAATTCGAAGCTGTACACGGCGCCGTCGTCGAACGTTCCGCCGTATCGAACTTAATCACGTGCGACTCAACGATCGGGCACCTGTCGCACTGCGTAAACGCGATTTCGCGGATTTATGGTCGCTCGCCTGGAGAGGCGCGACAGCAGCAACCAGCTGCATTTTTGTTTGACCGTGCGTCGTAATCGCCCTATCTATCGTGAAATGCTGGTTGTTCGACGGACGCGTATAATATTGCTACAATATACATTAATCCGGACGGGATTTATCATGTTACATGCGAGATTTAATTGCAAAGCAACGGATGAGCAAAGCAGGGATGCATGAAATATAACGGCCGTCGCGGAAATAAATCACTCTCGGTAACGCTTCTATTGTTGACGATTTTTATTGATGTGATATATTTTCGCGTGGCATTTTTCTTAGGCCAGATTAAGGCAATTCTAGAATAGTCTGTTTTACAGGTTTATGTCCAATATAGTTTAATTCTATCGTTTCTATCAATGTAATTTAATTTTAATTTTCTTTCAACTAAGTCCTTTTTTTTAGTTTTAAGAATTAGAAAAAGATGAAGAACAAGTTAAACCGAGATTAACACTTTTAGACTCTGCGTAATGTACATCAAATTTAAAGACCATTGATTATATCCATTGAAATTATTTAATTCTACATACGTCATCTGATGTATATAATAAAGTATATGTTGGAGAAATAGTCAAAATTAAAAAAAAAAATTAACTGTTTAATATGAATTATTCATTAAAGTGCGCACGAATTAAAAAAAATTTTGTTAAATATAATTCCAATAAAATCAAGTTTGAAGAAGTTAAAATTAATCTATTGATAGAAAGACATCAGTAGAATCTACGATTTACGTGAACATGAAACATCATCATACTACTACATCAATATCGCACGTACAAATTATACATACAAATTTTATAACTAATTAAAAAAAAATTTTTCATATTAGATATCTAAGCTTAATTTTAAAAACTACAAATTACGAAACTTTTATATAAAACAAATATTATTACAAAACGATGCCAAAAGCCGAAACAAATTATAATTTTTCTGATTTTTTTTGTTTTTGACATAAAGTTAATCGATTTGAACTATGTTATCGTTTATATTTTAATTATGGAAAAGATTTTTAAATCTGTAAAGGTAATAATTAGGAAAATATTTATTTAAAAAATAATCGGTAAAAAAAAACGACTTTAGAATCCCATTAAATATGCTTGTAGAATGGAGTTGGACGAGTTGATCGCCGTTTTGCGTGTCCCTCATTATACGTCGCGTAATAACGAAGTATTATTCGACGAAATAGCCTGAAATCCTCTTTTATTCTACACGGAAATACTGAGAATGTTGTAAAACGCGACAGTTTAAGTAAACGTACCTTGTTTAAATTACTCTTCGTGAATTACCCTTAATTTGGATAATTTCAAACAAAACGTATAATGAACATGTTGCCTAATTGAATAAATTACGGAAATTGGTGAGTTTAATCTGGACATAATCTTTAAATAACAATATTGGATTGCAAGGGAATTGATGCAAAAATTTCAAAATTCATAAATTCGAGTTGTGTTGATTTTGATAAAAACCTCTATTGAAAAAATTTTATGAGGTGGCAAAAAGAGTGTTTGGAAGATAAATATAAATCCATTCCAGCCATAAACGCGGTAACATATCAAAATTTATCTATAATAGAATAGCGATTCTTCATCGTGACATCGTAAAACAGAGCGCAATGCCATAAAATCGGAAGCCGAAACCGGGAGGGATAGATCGATCAGAGCTCATCTTACTCGTAAAAGAACGACGTGTTGGAATGCGCGATACCTTCGCGATATATCAGTTTGAAAAGCTTTCTGTCGCTTTCGTCTTGCAGCTGTCGAAAAGATGTCTCGTAAAAGTTCACCATTCGCTTCGGCCATTGTTTGTCGCAATATTTCGAAGCTCTGTCTGCTGTGGCACCAGCTGGGCCGTACAACCTGCGATTTTCATGTAATCCCGCGTTCCCGTTCGATAATTTCTCTATCCCAAAACAGCTCGACGTGCGATAGAAAAGGATTGCTCTGAGATAACTCCATCAGGGTGGAGTAACATTGTAATTAAATTTTAAGGAAGAACTTTGTTCGTAAAAAATATTGAAACTTTTTTCCTTTTTATTATATATTCCAGACCAACAATTTAGAAATACTTTTTGAAAATTGACATTTTTGACATTAATTAAATTAATCAAATATTAATCAAATATTCATACACTGAAACATTTTTCGTACTTGTGACTGTAATTACATGTTATCATAATTGCGATTGTTACTTAGGACTGTTACTTTTGACAACTTTGAAGATTGGAAGCTTCGAAAGAATTTGAGTCTTCAAACTTGGAAACTATCGAAGTTTAAGGTGCCTTCGAAACTAGCTTTGAAGTTAGCTTTGAAGCTTTGAAGCTTCGAAAAATATATTTATGCGAATAGAAAAAAATGGAAATATATTTGTAATACATAAATATATTTGTTCGTAAATATATTTATATATTCACAAATATATTTTTTATCAAAAAAATATATATATTCATTATTAATTATATTACATTAATAATTTTATAATTTTGATTTTTTGATCTTCGTGAATGTTAATGCCGAAACTTCGAATCATTGAAGCCTTGAAATTTAAATATCAAAGCTTCCACAGCAAATTCAGTCCTAGCTATTGTGCTATAACGTTAATAATATTAATTAGTAATATTAACTTACAGTTAATATTACTAATTAATATTATTAACGTTATATATACGTTATATAAAATATATATATA